GCATCTACCTCTCTGTAGCTAACCACACCTATACACTGTTCAATTACAGCATCTACCTCTCTGTAGCTAGCCACACCTATACACTGTTCAATTACAGCATCTACCTCTCTGTAGCTAGCCACACCTATACACTGTTCAATTACAGCATCTACCTCTCTGTCACTAATCACACCTATACATTGTCCAATTACAGCATCTACCTTTCTGTAGCTAGCCACACCTATACACTGTTCAATTACAACATCTACCCCTCTGTCACTAATCACACCTATACATTGTCCAATTACAACATCTACCTCTCTGTCACTAATCACACCTATACATTGTCCAATTACAACATCTACCTCTCTGTCACTAATCACACCTATACATTGTCCAATTACAACATCTACCTCTCTGTAGCTAGCCACACCTATACACTGTTCAATTACATCTACCCATCTGTTATTAATCACACCTATACATTTTTCAATTATAATGTTTACCTGTCTCACACCTATACATTGTTCAATTACATCTACCTGTCTGTCACTAATCACATTTAGACATCTCCCATTTATCACACTTATATTGCTGTAATCATACACACCAGTACATCTAATTACAATATCTACCTATCTATCATCACACACACACACACACATCATTATGTCTAAAACCATTTTAATAAAAACAGATTTTTTTCAATAAACACACCTAATATTGTAAAATTACTATTCATCTATCAAATATTTACTTATGTTTTCCCACAAAATAGTGCTTATCATTGCTTTATAGTTTGACATGAATACTATTTTTGTGGTAAGTCTAACTGTTCTATGATGTGTGACTATTATATCATTTCTTTTTTATATTCTTATGATCCTCTTGTGTATTGGTTCTTTTCTAAATGATGACTGGTATATTTTAAAGTATGGAATTAAGTCTTTTGGTTGGCCGGTAGATACAAATGCATGAGACATGCCTGTGTGGTGTTTTTATGTATTAAGGACCTCAGCATTAAAATGTCACAAGTTGGTTATTGAGCTACTTAAAGTTAGCAAAATAAGGGTCTTATAGTGCATCTTGATTTATCAGTATATTATAAGCATCACTGATTCAAATGTCCAGGTAGCATTAAGTAGTTTTTGTCATATTTTTTATGCTTACTAGGATCAACTCTTAACATTTCTACTACGAAGTGTGTTCTTTTCGTGGTCAGGATGTGAGAAAAAATCAAGATCCAAGTTAGATGACCATATAATATTCATTCTTATGCAGTCATGAAACAGATATATTTGCAGCAATTTTTATTTTTTTCGGTGGTCAGTTCAGTTTGCTAGTAATAAGAAATAATTGTATTCTTGATCATTGGTGGATACAACAATCAAACTGATAGCCCTGAGCAGCTTAAAGATTGTCACTGCTACTGTCTACATAGAAACAATTTTCCATTTCTTTTGATTTTCACAGTTCAACCAGTTCAATATCTATGCAAATGCTAGAAAAAAAAACAAGCACCTAACAAAAAGTAAATCTCAAACATAGGCATGCTAACTACAGACACATTTTCATATTTCTAAACTTCTCTTTATTTGTCATTAGAACAAAAGTTATTCAAAGAAAAACAACAAGTTTTTTCTGTTGAACCTTTTCCTATTATTTTTTTTACTAAACTCTCCTAAAATATAAACTTTTTGATAGAAAACATACCTACTTTCAATGCCACTTCAATACCTTTTCATTCAGTCAAAAATCATTGTAGTCAACATCTTTATCTTTTTACATCAACACTTTCACACACACCCAAATTCAGGTTTAGCACTCAGTGTTCTTTACAATACAAAATCGTATCAAGCGGTTCTTTTATATATATATGTGTGTGTGTGTGTGTGTGTGTGTGTGTGTGTGTGTGAGTGTGTGTGAGTGTGTGTGTGTAGTGTTTCAAAGACAAGTTTTTAACTCCATATGTGTTGCAACAAATGGGCTGGTTTATGCTCTTTATTACTACTTCAAGTGTAGTTGTATTTTTTCACAATAAAAAAGAAAAGAAAAACTGATTATCTGTGCATTAAGTTTATATTAATAATAAGTCAAAGCTCTTATATTTTTTACATATCATTTGTATCATGCTTTTCAAGGCTAGATACGTTTATTTTGACATTATTACCAAACCACATTCTATTTTATCAAACTATGAGCTTGGAGTCTATTAATATAACTGATATACTTGTACTGATTAGAAACTGTCAGAAAAACCTTCCACATTTCTTTATTATCTTATAAACTCTAAATCGATTTTTAACAATGTCATTATAAGTTTTCTTGCTCTAAATGAAATATTAATCAATTTTTAATGAATGATAACAAGCACTCCATTCCTTATATTTTAAATTGATATCTAATCAACTTTTGAAATTATCACTTCATGCCACTTTGAGTGCAACTTTTATTACTGAAAAAACTTAAAATATAGCTTTTGTCAACTTTCAAGATACTTTAATATAACAGTTGTTCCTTTTCTTCTTAACAATTACCACAAATGGACTTACTTTTTACCACTTTCCAAGAATGTGTCAAACTCCACTGACATCTTACAACAAAGGGCTTTCCTTTACAAAAAATATGAAACTTTAGGATAAAGCTTTTCAGGTAATGCGGTCAACTAAACACTGATCAAACAAACTGCACATGTATTGAACAAATTTTTCAATTCTAATTTACATGTGTTTTTTATACAATGAAAGTTTCAAGGAAATAAAAAATTAATAAATTCAATTAAAATGATAAGAACAGAGTGGATTATGATTTAAACTGGTAAAGATAAGAAATTCTACTTCCCTTTACTTTTAATGACTGCTATTTCTGTTCAAAGACACTAAATTTAAAATTGGTATTTTGTAACATAACTTTAGCAGCACCTTCAACATATGAGCTAAATGACTGAGCCAGAGGCCCCTGAGGTCTAAGCATAGTTATCTCTAATTTTAAAATGCTGGCCAGAAGGAGGACAACTAATTATCCATGAAACCACTCTCAGACAAACAGAAGAACTGATTTGCCTAATTAAAATTCCCCCAAAGCTGAAAGTGTTAAGCAATTTATGCTCAATAGCATATTGTAGCTCAAACTTTGAGCTTTGCGATTCACATTCTGGCAACTAGGGCATATCAGCCTAAATCTAAAATGTTAAATATGATTTTTCTATTTAATGTATATTGTCCAATATCTATCTAATTTGTTATTCCACTTCCCAACATTAAGTCACTGGATTTTTTGACAACCTTTTTTATATAATTTTATTCAGACCTTTGAGTACAGGTATTATTAAGGAATAACAATTAAACTTCAAGGTTCTGTTAAAAGGCAACTAATATTTCATGAGTTTCAAGGTTCTGTTCACTAATAATCAATATCCAATCAACTTTAACACTCCATTAAGAGATGATTAATAATAAACTACCTTTAATGCCATGTTAACAAATAACAACTAATTTAGCAATATTTATAAGTTCCCTCTACACATACTGAGTAGCTTTATTAAATCAGTGTTTCACTTTTCATTTGCCTCAAATATTCTTCAACTATAACTAAAAAGAATATTTATATACTGTAACTCCAATATTTCTTTTGGTAATTTAAAAGACGTGTTACTTAAAATTCTTTTGTTACATGATTTCATAATATTAAAAAAAACATACACTTAGTATTATTCACACAGTTCCTATCAACTTTTAAAAAGTTTCTAAACCAAGTCTATTTATATTTTCTATCCATCCCCTCTTTAAGACCTTTTAAATGTAAATAATAAAGAACCTGGATCATTATTCTTAGTGACCTTAATCATTTTTCCTAATGTGTTTTTAATCATTCTATTTGTGTTATGAATCTTAACCTCTTTCATCTTGACTTGATTTTTTAATTTCCAGACATTTTCCTCTACCATGCACTGAGCTATCCTAATTTTATGCTCCTTCTGTACTCTTTTGAAACTTTATCTAAAAATGTTCTAACACTACAACTATTGTACTCTCAACATTTAAATGTCATAAAAAGTGAAGAAATATCAAATCTGTAATTCTATACTTCATTGCATTTTCAACAACTTATTACTCGTTTTATACAGGACATAATAACTTTCTCACCTGTTGTGTGAAGATGAGCAGTTTGTGTTGATCAGATGACCGTCTGTTAACAAAAAGAAAGGTTACGTCAGTTCAACTTATATATATTTTATGATCTTATTTAAGTACACAACATCTTTATAATTTGAACAACAGAGATTTTAAAATATAAGTATGATAAATTAATCAAATATATATATATATATATATCAACAAGGATTCAACATGAAACAAGAAACAGTAGAAAGATCAAGGATTCATTTTTCTAATAAAGGGATGAGGGATAAACTAAAGATGTTTTAGTGTACTTCAATATCAATATTCTTTTTAAATACGTGAAGATATTGAGAAAGATCACAACTATATAATAATTTTGCATCAAAATATTTTTTTAATAAATATTAAACAAATATTTGCAATAAACTTCATTTAAACAAAAAGTTTGTGTAAAGTTAATAAATTAAATTATGTGTATTTAAGACTCATAATGTGGATTACTTAAGGTTTGAGTTAAAATACTGGAATCACACACCACATTAAAACTTGTATTGTTGACTTGCGTTATGGGTCTAAAGCTCACATTAAATACTGATTTTAGCAGAGTTTGGAATCCTAGCATTTATATAAAACTACTAGTGAAAGTACCCTGCTTCGCTCAATTTATTAGCTTGATAGTGTGCATATTCTGACCCCATTTCAGGATAAAAGTTTTTTTGCTAAACAACATGACATAAAAGCCATTGTTGGAACCCATTTTTACCGAAATGTGCTGCCATTTCTATATATTAGAAGTTGTTATATATGGAACCACTTCTTTTCTGTGTGTTTTTTCACTAGCTTGCCTCATTAAAAAGATGCTCACATGCATGCAACTGAATAAGATAATTAATACCCAGGTGCACACCCAGGTTCTTTCCTCTTGGGAGCTATGACAGTCACACATATACTGACACGCACGTACATGTCTGTCTGTGATTTCTGTTTGTAATATAAAGAATCACTTCTTTTCTATGTGGTTTTTCGCTAGATTGCTTCATTAAAAAGATCCACACACATGTGGATAAGTAATAATACCCAGGTGCATACCCTCAGGGTCCACTTAGTATGTGTGTAAAATTTCAGGTTTCTAGGTTCTTTACTCTTGGAGCTATGGTGATCACACACATATCTCCTTTTTATTATTATAGATCAACATTATTAAAATATTATATATCCACCTTCAAGATACACAGTCAGCACAAAATAATTCACTTATAAACATCAAATAAATAAAGAAGAGGTGTGGGGGGGGGGTCATTGCTGTCCACATTAATGGTGAGTAGACTCACAGGATGCAGGGTGTAAACACATCTATGCTCATAGGTCTGAAGGTTTATTATGGTTTGCAATACAAATATATGTTAACACTTGGACTGTCTCAAATTTATAGAAGTTGCAAAAAAAAATTGTCTACTGGGAATCGTGACCTTTCATTCGTATGAACTGGACAGTCATAAACCCAAAACATTAAATATGTGGATTCATTTAGAATAAAAATGAGAAAACTTACAATACTAAAACTAAGAAGTAACGAGACTGCAAACACAATGCTATTCTATATCTACCAGAGTATATTATAAATTGTATGCTTTGAATCAACAGTGATCAAGCTGCTAAAATCAAGAGCTAAATTGGAGTGGAACAGTCCGAAACAGAGTTCAGCCTCACAGTGATTCAAGCTATTGCCATTCCTGATCTTCTGATTGGAATGTTCAGATGGGTCAGAACAGGAAGTTCCATCTCTTTCAAAACCCCATTTCAACCACTGGCTAAAATTAAAATGATAGCTGATGTAAAAAAATGAATTAATTAAAGGCTCTGAAAATAGTTGGCACACATTTTAAGAACTTAAAATTCTCTTAGAATGCAAGTTATTTAGGTAATTCATAAAACTTATGAAAATATGCAAAGAAATTTAAAGCAACTTCAAACCTGCTTATCATGAAATTTATCAAGGAGTGTCTGGGGAAGTGGATGCCCAAGTAAAAAATGTTTTGAAAATTGAAATAAATCTCATGCATATTAATTAACAAATAATAAACAACAGATGTTTGTAATACACGAGTTGCTGACAACCACAGAGGTGCCAAACCTACTAAACACCTTTTGTAACTGGTAAACTCATGATGCTGACATAAGGTTTTGATGTTTAATCAAACACTACAATTGTTTAGAAAACGAATGTGCTTCACTTTCAATTAATCACATCTAGCGAGTTCAATTTACAAATCAAACAAGTACACAAGGCTTCATTTTTTTTTCTTCAATCTCAAATGAACTTCTAACAAACAATGAAAAAGTACGGGAAATGAGCGACTACAAATCATCACTTAGCAAGTTAAAATGAAAAATTCTGAAGAGTTGACAGGTATGTCAGTTACTGTAAATTTTCGAAACTCAGGTGTTGGGTACATGGGCGTCCGCAGGGGGGGGGGCAATAGGTACTTGCCTCCTGCAAAATGAAAAACATAATTTTTTATTTATTTATTCAAAATATATATATGAATTTACAAGATTTTTTTATTCACTTCACAATTTCACATTACTTATTACACTAAATTTTCAATTCTTATAAATGTCGCCAGGTCTATCAGCAGCTTTATTTAAAATCTCTAGATGCTTACCCTGTAGCGAAACATTAAAAAACGTCCCTACCACGGCGGTTTGTTGGATATTGGACAAAGCAATTCTCACTCAGGTCATCACAGAGACCGACTTGGTCTTGCCGACAGCCCCTGAGCCCTGACACAGTGTGATTGGGGTAAACCTGTTACCACCTACCGATGATATATGCAGCAGGTTATAAAAGAGACTGACGAAGTCTTGCAGACATTCTACTCTGCAGTATGGCTTAAACTAACCTTACAAATATTAAACCCATCAAATCGTCCCCTGATTTTGACTTTGCCCCATCCCCCTTCGGAAAATTTCTGCGGACGCCCAAGGTTGGGTATCTCAAGCAAACTAATTTCAAAGAGCATATGCATAAGTCACAATAACATAAGTTTTAGTTAGAACATGTTCGCTATACTTCGTATAATACATCGTTGGTGAGAGAGACACGTCACTAAACCTGATAAGGAGGAACAGTGATATTTAAACATTAACAACGCTGCAAAAAAATGAATAAACGAACCCCTATGGGTCGGCAACCCTTCAAAGATGCACTACAGGATTACAAATCTAAAATCAGGGATTCGATTCCCCTCGGTGGACACAGCAGATAGCCAGAGAGTCGCAGGTTGCCGATCCCTGCCCTAAAGTGTTGAAATCCGACATACAATGCACTGAAAATCCAACTATACTAAACAAAATATATACGATAAAATTCAAAATTAGTAGTAAATGTGCCTGCGTAGTTAAAAAGAATACAATAATTCACGCAAATATAAACTCCAAAGTAATATCAGGTTAGAAACGGGACATTATTACAGGAATGACTCGTAAGTTGAACTGATTGGCGAGGGAATAATCATTGTTACAAGTTTTATGAAAGACGTCAAGCAAAAGCACGCGGCAAATGAAGTGTTCTATCAAGCTGGATGAAGTAAACTAGAGTACAATGTAAAGGGCCCGGCATGGCCAGGTGGTTAGGGCGCTCGACTCGCAATCTGTTCGAGTTCTAATCCAAACATGCTCGCCCTTTCAGTCGTGTGGGTGTTATTAAGTGACAGTCAATCCCACTATTACTGTTTGTATTTGTCACATAAACAACAAATATATTTTATGTGTATTACAATTGTAACATTTATGACATGGTTTTACAAGCATATTGAACAAATGCAAATTCTATATAACAAATTTACGACAGTATGGAGTATGACGAAAAACTGGCATAGACCAGTACATCCAGAAATATGAAATAAAACGATTTTCATAAGCTACGTTTACTAACTTCATTCTTATAAAAATTCAAAGTTCTATTATTAAATAAAAGAATATTAATTAACATTTCCTGCTTCTACCAGGATTCGACATCACAAAGTCCTTGTAATCATGTCATTAAAATTAAACCTAGCTCTGAGTGGAAATAGTTCTCTATTTTTCTTAAGTGAAATTTATTTTCTTATTAGGCCATGGCCTCCTAATATTTAGACGGCCATGATTAGGCCTACAAGCTATAAAAAATGGCGAACTCGATATACATTAGTGGGTAGTACATTATTAAGAAAAATCAAAAAAAGGATCTAAAAACTGACGACCTGTTTAGGGCGCTCGACTCGCAATGTGCGGGTCACAGAATCGAAACTCAACGCCGAATTTGATCGTCCTTTCAGCCGTGGGACATTATATTTCATAATATTACAGTTAACTACACAATTCGTTGGTAATGAGTAATCCAAGGATTGGCGGTGGGTAATGTTGACTAGTTGTCTTCCCTCAACTGAAAATTAGGAATGACTAGCGCAGATAGCTCTCTAGCAGCTTTGCATGAAATTCAACAAAACAAACAAAATCATCAACACGATATATGATTGTGTGTTAATGTGGACACGTTAGTTTCACGTAAATCGAAGAATCTTCACTCATATGTTATACCAGCAGAAAGGCGGCCCTACGATGTGCTTCTCTGTCACGAAATTTCCCCTAACTTCTAACTGCATCTAGGCGAGAATTTTCATGTGTTTCTGTATTTCGGGTTTGTTCCTGGCTTCTCCTCACTCGATCTTGCATCATAACTTAGTGGGCAAGCCTATCTCTTTCTTTCTGTAACGTGCATCCTGAAGTTCCATTTTCCTTCTCAAAGTTTCAGACTTTCTCCGTGGTAAATCACTTTTCCGTTTGGCAATTTTTGGCATAGTGATTTTCAATGTTTTTCATCACTTTATACTCCTATATGAATAAAAAATACTTGTGTAACTTACGAAAATCGACTTACTACAAAATTCCTGCAAATTTGTATGCAACGAATTCTGTACGAAGGACTAGCGAATCCTTCGGTCACAGAAGAATTCTATTCATTGCGTCCGCTCGGATTCTCCAGCAGAATAAGACATTTTTCTTCTGAAATATCGCAATGATTCT